TTACTTTTGAATTTGATTCAAAGAAAAATATTTTGGATGCATGCCAGATGCAAGTGAGCAATACAGCAGTAAATGGATCTATGTTTACATACATATATTCGTGTTTTTGCCTCTGTCTTCTAGACAATTTCAAAAGCTATGTTGAAACTGTTGGAGAAGTGCTAAAAGTATCAGTTATTCATTGAATACATTTTAAGTGCGTCTATCCAGATGGCAAGAATACAAACACAGAGAGTTTTAGAGAATCATCAGCAATAAAGACGCCTAGAAGTTATATGTTCAGCAACAAAATTCATTCTCCATATTACTATAATAGGAAATCATCCTGTTGTTGTTATTCGGTTGGGATAGACGAGGTATTATTCAACTATGCCCGAAAATCTAGCTTTCTAATGTGTTTTTCAGAGCCATAAACTTTATTAGACTTTCAAATTTTACAAAAAAAGTTTCATTCATAAGCGCTCCAATATATTTTGAAGTTTAATTGTTGTAGTAGGTTATTTGAAATTGTTTTAGTTATTGAGAAATTAATCTGCTAATCAGCTCGAATACTATAATTTACTGAGAATTTATGTCCACGGTGAAATATAAAATTTAAATATAATTGAAATAAATCCCACTTTATGTTATTTAAACAAACAAATACTATTTTTAAAGTTATAAGAAGTCATTAACAGGCAAGCAAATATGACATCATCTTAAGGTCCTAATCTTTGATATGAGTTTCATGCTATTGTATGCAATGTTATGAAAAGTAAAGGTTTGGCTAGTAAGCAAACAAAACTTTTTTTACAGCTACTCGTATATTAAGTTTTAAAATGTGGTCGACTTATGCATGTGGCATCCTCGTTACCGCACGTGGTCCACACTCGACATAAAATAACGTAGATTCAGGATGCAATGGACGATTGGGAAGATATTATAGAGTTACTAAAGTGATTTCATCTTTAATTCGCTTAGTGTAGCGCAGAGCCAACGGTTGTAGATGGACATTCTAAATCACTTTGTAAGATCTAAGAAACTAGAAAATGTCATATTATTAACATATTATGAACACCCAGTTAGATTTTGTAGCTTCAGTAAATAGTGTAACACATGGCTTGGTTCTGGTCAGGGCCGTCAACTTCGGAAATTGTTTTCAACGTTTATTTAAGGGCCCTCGTTAACCTAAAGAGACTATCTTAAGATATGGTAAATCGCTTATCGTGTTAAGAAATTGATTAATTAATTAATCAACTAAAATTGATTTCTGTTAGTGACAAAATTTTCATCTTAATGAATAAAAATCGATAGCTTTGATTTCAACCTCCATACATTATTATATTTTATATGACTCCATTTGAATAGATATTTTCCGTTACTTCGTAGTCTTTTAACAAGTGAACACCTCAAAGGAAGTAAATTAACTATTTCCAAAGTAATAATAATAGTAGTAGAATGATGGAAAAGAATAAACATACATAATAATAGCTTAAAAATCAAGAATAGAACATAGATAATATATAAATATGTGTGCATCGCGCAACTAGACTCAACAAAATAATATCAGTACCGTATAAAATCCAAGTATAAAGAATAAGTTGGAAGTACTTCGTATTATATTGTAAGTTATTTTGAAATACCAAAGTTTAAAGCGTTATTTCATGTATATTCTTTTAAGTTCCTCGTAATACTTTAATTTCATTTTTACAAAATAACTCACACAATATGCCATGGACTTGTTTAAGTTTAATGGAGAAAATAATATTTAATTATATAATGATACAGAGACCCTAGGGTTCCGATATAACATAAAAAAGTTACTTGGCAAATACCTAGAATACACTTATTCGGGCCTTTAGACTTGGCCCTGATTGGGACTTAATTTCATAAATTCTAAAAACCTGTGCACTATAGTTGTCTACTGATTGAATACCATAACCAGTCAATGGTACATTAAGTCATTGAGTATACTTTGATTCGTTTTCGAGGTCAGGTAGTTAGGGCGCTTGACTTGCGATCTGAGGGTCGTGGGTTCGAATCCCCGTCCCACCAAACATGCTCGCCCTTTCAGCCGTGGGGGCGTTATAATGTAACGGTCAATTCCACTAGTAACGGCAAGTGCAGATAGCCCTCGTGTAACTTTGCGCGAAATTCAAAACAAACCACAATGATTCGTCTTCGAAATTACTATTCTATTAAATTGTAATCTTTATTCCTCTTTGAGATACAATATTAACAAATTTCCACACTATTAAAAATGCAAGGGTTGTATACTTTCAGTTAGGAGGAAAAGAATAGCAGACAGTATAAACACCCATTGCTTAGATAAAGTGTAAACTGTAAATCACTGTTAAGTTGTGAGTTATAGTTTATTTCGCTTTTAGTTTTTCAATGTATTTAGTTCACACTTACCCCAAAGAACTGTCATCATGCAAAAATTGCATTCATGTAAACCTTATCTGTTGAGCGTGTCTGAACTAAATAACCCCATAGAAACTAGCACTGTGCTCTCATTCGACTGGTGTGAATGGATGGGATCAAGTAAAAAATAAAATGAAAGGACACCATCGTATACTATTTTATCTCTCTAAACGTGTTCGTTTTGTGAAAGATCCGGTGTTTTATACCTGAACTTTAAAATTATTATGCATTAAATCAACACGGGTCGCATGATCTCTTAAAAACCTACTCACTAATAGCCTAGAAAATTCCGTTTTTATCAATATTGAGTAAAGATATTCACAACGTTAGTTAAAAAAGCTTCCTAGAAATACGTGTTTCAATGTTATTTCGAACTCGAAAACCTTTACCGACGTTAGCTACGATAAATGTTTTGTGTTCCTTTGGACTATTAACTTAAAACAATCACTGCAGTTCAAGACATAATAGTTGACAATTTTAAAAATTAAATGGCAGATTATACCATAACAATGCTTTCTTAGGGTTCGTTAAAACATATAAATGCAGTTGGATTATATAACGTGGTTATTTTCAAAAGATATTTGGACTACGGCATTTTTTAAATATTCTACAAAGTACCTTACAGGACTTGATCAAGGTGCACATTTGTTAAAAGTGCCTGTAGGTTATTTCAAATTTATTGATTATGAAAATAATCTTTTCAGGAGCTTTTGAAACACACACATGTTGACCACCCAGATTATCAACTTTTGGTGCTGGCTCAGAAAGAAATTCACGATTTAGCTGTGAAAATCAATCGAATGGAACGAGAAGCTTTTCAGCATGAGCGGATGCTGCAACGAATGAAGGAGCTAGAACATTTGATAGAGGGAGCCATTGACGTGAGCGAAGTTACATAAATTTTGTTTTCAATATGTAGAATTGAACATTTGATAGAGGGAGCCACTGACGTGAACAAAGTAACATATATTTCTTTTTCAATACGTAGAATTGAATATTTACAGAGTTACTGTGCTAAAATAATAACAATACATTTTGTTTTACTATAATTAATATCGGCTCTACGGACGACAGATATGAGTCATCAAACTAAGTTATTGAGTTGGATGAGCTACAACCGACTTATCTCCGATTAATATATGTTTTAAGTTGTGAAATACTGTGGCTAATCCGTTCCTTATACGTTTTGAGCAAAATAAATCGTTAAAATTTGTACACAGTTCTGAAATTAAAAAGTTAATTATGCATAAAAACTGTAAGTATGTTGTATGTTTTTAAGCATTAATTATTGAAAACTGGATTTCATTAATGATATAAGATTTATTGATTAATTTCGTTGAAACTCAATTGTTTGGCCTATAACCATTAGCGTACCACTTTCGTTAATCCTATTTTAATAGGAATTTGTGTTCGTATGTATATTTAACGAAACTATTACCGAACGAAGAAGCTAATTCTCGACGGCTCAATGATAAACTTCAGGGTTTATAACGCTAAGATTCGGTGTTCGATCTCTACAGCGAAAACAGCCTACATAGCCAGTTGTAAACCTTTAAATAAAGTAAATAAACGAAAACGCTTACAGGTATCAAACTTGTATTGTGGTTTATCAAGGTTTATACTGAGAACTGGATAAATTGGATGTGAATAATTAGGTTTGATAATTATATGAATATTAGAAATATGTCATCAATTAATTCAAACAAATACGGAAAATGTCACTGTTATGCAATGCATTAATTAACCGCTCTGCTAAGTATTATTTTAATTTTGCAGATGCTTCAACAATATATGAACATAACAGTTATATCTTTATGAAGTAGTTTTTACGAAGTTTAAGTTGTTTTTACTTCTCAGTAAAAGATTTTCCTCGTTTTGCAAAACTCAAAACAACTCTTCCAGGACTATATGAGTTATATAAAATAATTTTCAGCATACAACTCTAAACTACTGTTTACTGTATGGGAAATTTATATTTTTTGCAAGAAAAGCTCGTAAAACTATAAACCATATAAGCTCTCAATGACCAATGCTAAGCACTTTACCACTACGCTTTACTTTTTTGCAAGGAGCCAAAATAAGGATTGTAATTTGAGTAAATAATATCTACAGTACCTCCAGCTTTGTTTCCTTATTTTTTACGACCCCTATACATACATGTATGTTATATATATATTATGTATGAAGTAAATGACTAAAAAATCAATACACATAATATTAAACTTTATTACACGCATTGGTATAATAATTGCTTTAAAATACACGAAGGTATATTTAAAGCGATGTTTTAGACATATATGTATTTATAAGCTCTCAATGACCAATGCTAAGCACTTCACCACTACGCTTTACTTGAGATTTACATGTAGAAGTTTTACATACGTACTATTTTTCACTATAGAAATACTTACATTATACTATTAGACTAAAAATATTTTTATACAAACATAATTATTGGTGTAAAGTATTCAAGATTTTATTGGGATATTGGTTGTTCAAAAAACGTTGATTATTATTTCTTTGATTGTCTTTTTTAGCTTGTCCAGCCTGATAGAACATTCATTCGTTATGACGTAGTGTATATCACTGTAAGTTAATCTGGCTTTTGAGTTTATCATGTCTAGATCTGATCATGATAAAAGTAAGATTCTTAAGACTACATTATGTACAAAAGTTAAAGATAAAGAAACAATCTTGGCATAAAATATTATCGAAACGATTATAAAGTAAGTTATTTTTAGGCACAATTAACGTGAAAATCTCTTTTGACAGTTTTTGAGTAAACTAATGTTATCATCAATCATTTGTCTGTATGGTAAATTTTTACCACAAAGGTTTTCCTTGTATAAATAATTTACTTGTGTTTAATATGAAAAAAATTAAATGTGTTAGTTTATTTAGCTTTGTAACGCTAAGTAGCTCATGAAGAGATGCAAATTTTAACTCATTCTTAAAACAAAAACGTATTTGTATAATTAACATTCGTATTTTTGAAGATAAGAAATATTGATAACGGGGTTTGCTTTAATTATTCACCATGTTGTTTCAATACAAGAAGAAATTAACACAACTTCCCTTCAAATAACAGGGAGGCTTGGGGATCAAGAATGAGCGTTGCATTTTTCTCTTCTCTGATCTTCTGATTATCACCAGTATCAAGAGAAAAAGTGGAACGATACGAAAACCATCATCATCCTCGTGAGTCTTTCTTTCCCTAGATATCTGGCTTATCCCATAATATTTTAAAATTTAGATTTAAAGGCAACGCCAGTCTAGGAGTATAAATTATTATAAGTGGATTGTCGCAATGTGTATCATGCTCAGTTTATAAAGCATGTATGAAAAGCAGTAATTATGCAAATAATTCTTGTGAAATGAATAAATAAGCAGATCTCGATAACAATTAAAATAAATACATCCGTTAAATTCATCATCAGAATGACATACGTACTCGTTTCGCAAGACCACCTTCTGGAGGTGCGTAAACATCTAACTGTTTATCCAATTAGTCATTATATTAAACACCCTTAATATTCGTTTCATATATGTTGTCATTTCCTTATGTTCATCAGATTCGCCATTTTGCTCAATCTCTTTTACGTTTACAATATTTCATAATTTTTAACATTGATAGTTTTGTTTCTAATGCAAAAGTAAACGAAGTGGTTACTGCGAGCAGAAAATCTACTGGAAGTATAACCTTTTTTTGGTTGAGTCATGTGAACATGCGTATATTTTATATTGCAGTCTATAAACATATAAAGAGAAATGTTTAAATTTCATTGAAGGTAAGTTAAATGAAAAGGTTAGAAGATACAGAGGTATGATTTTAGTAAGATAACAAATATTAAACTTTAGTATCATCACCCACGATAGTGGTTTATAATAGTGATCGCAAGGATCTGCACAAAACCATAATAGAACGTTCGGGCAAAAAGCACCTTAAACAATAAAGATTCTGTTCAAACAACACTTTAAAACCTTTACTATTGACTATTAAGGCTGTACACATATAAAAATGCATAAAAAAGCGCGCATGCTAGACTTAAAAGGAAAATAAAATCCGCTCCAAATGGCTAGTTTTTAATTATTCTTCTCCTGCCAGCCTACAACAAAAACGGTTTAGTATATTGCACCCAAACCTTTTGTAAGATATAGCACTGCGAATGTCGTAGAGGTATTCAAATGTCAGTTTGTTTCTTCTATATTTTACATAAGCTAAAAAACACCATAATTCTAGAGTAAACGATATTAACATTACCCCTTGAAGTTAGCTTTCTTACAAATATCTTGTGTTCCTCAAAAAAGTTTAAAACAGGTGAAAGAGGAATTACTAGCTAATAATAGAAGAATATTTAATCAGTCTAACATGTAGATACTCAATGCTTTGTACGCTATACAATCGGTGTCTTTAGGGAACCAACCACTATATTATGTATGAAGTAAATGACTAAAAAATCATTACACATAATATTAAACTTTATTACACACATCCGTATAATAATTACTTTAAAATACACGAAGATATATTTAAAGCGATGTTTTAGACATTTATGTTTTATTTGAAAAAAGCTGCTTTTTCTACTGGTAATGTATTTTCGCGCTTTATGGGGGTTGTCTACGTCTAGGCGTATATTTGCTCATTGCTATGCAATATATATAGACAGTTTAGTTACACAGAAAATATAAATGCTCACTATATTCTTAAACAAATATCCATGACAATCTCCAGCTGCAGCTTAACATTTTACATCTCGAACTAATGTGATCAAATAGTCAATAGCTACAGTAAATCATCATGAACCGTATAAGCTAGCTACTTGCCGTGTTTATTATCATTATAATGTATAAAGTTAGCTACTATATCAAGTAATCCTTTACCCATAGTTGAGCATAAAAAGCCAGCAAACAAGAAAAAAATAGGGAATTTGAAAACCTGGAAATATGGATAATAAAAAAGTAAGGAAACAAGGCTGAAGATACTGTAGACATTATTTATTCAAACTATAAATCCCTATTTTTACTCCACCAAATATAATTCTTTGTAACAGCATAGAGCCAAAATAGGGATTGTAATTTGAGTAAATAATATCAACAGTATCTTCAGCCTTGTTTCCTTACTTTTTGCGACCCCTATTTGCAGGTGTTTAAATTTTCAATTGTTTATTTATCTTGTCTACATCAACTCAATAAATGGCACTAGAGGCAGCAGCGAAATCAACTCTCTTAACGTCAGTAAAAATACTAGTTGTACTAACTTCAGCCCAGAGAATCAGCAGATTTTAACATTCAGCTTTTGACCAAACATCGCTATCATAGTTATTATTCAAGTAGTATCTCATTGAAACAAACTTGTGGACGTTTACCTTTTGTCCAGAGAGGTAACTTTTGTAAAAAAAATAGAATGTCTACGCAAATAAGACGATTATAAAAATTAGTTTTAGCATAATTAAAGTTGTTTAAACATTTGTTAAACAACAAGATAAAGCTTGGAATGGTCTATTCTTTCACTGTGGTGTGTG